TGTGCGAGAATGCTGAAATTTCGTCAGCTTTTGTATGAAAACCGTGGAATCTGTTACTCAAATTACTGAACTTTCTAGCCTCCTGTAATGAGAATGCTGAAATGTAATGAGTTTTGGAAGTCTTGTGGGATTGGGAACATTATAAGGGAATTGATACCCGGGGCATAGTGGGTCAGCAGTTAAAGTTGCTGGGTTCAAGACCCGAGGGGTGAGCTCAGTGGTGGGATTCAAATTGTAGGCGTGGCTTGGTGAGTGCGCTTTGCATGCGTGCACACACTTTGCGTGCACGCGCACGCCAAACACGCCCTTTGCGCAGGTGCAGAGACGTTTGTGCAGGTGCAAAGGCATTCTAACTCACCTCCTGCAAGCCTGCATGCCTGCACGATCCCAGTCGCTTCAGCAGAGTGCCATGCAGCACTCTTCTGTGCCGTGCAAAGCAGCTGCACTTCAAATTCAGCAGATAAATGTGAGTATGGGAGCCCGGGGGGGCCCAACAGCAGAGCAACGGAGACAACCGGTTTGGTCTCCGCTGCTCATCGCTGCTACCAGCTCTGTAGAACCAGGCCGAACCGGTAGAATGCCACCACTAGGTGAGCTCCCGTCCTCATTCCAGCTTCTGCACTCTCCCCAGCAATTTGAGAGCATGCAAATGCAAGTAGATCAATAGGTACCACTCTGGTGGGAATGTGACAGCGTTCTGTGCACCTCGCCATGGAGTCAATGCTGGCCATAAGACCACGGAAATATCTTCAGACAACACTGGCTCCAGTGGTGGGATTCACATTTTTTAACTACCAGTTCTGTGGGCGTGGCTTGGTGGGCGTGGTGTGGCTTGGTGGGCGTGGCAGGGGAAGGATACAGTAAAATTTCCATTCCATCTTCATTCCTGGGGGAAGGTTACTGCAAAATCTCCATTCCCTCCCCACCCCGCTAACCTGCTTTCCAGCTCCATTCTCCTGTGCAGGGCAACAAAAGGAGACCAGCCAATCAGCTGGGATTCGGGAGGCGGAGAATAGATGGGGGCGGGACCAGTCAGAGGTGGTATTTGCCAGTTCTCTGAACTACTCAAAATTTCCTCTACCGGTTCTCCAGAACTGGTCAGAACCTGCTGGATACCACCTCTGACTGGCTCCCTTGGTTAGGAAACAGAGATGGGCACCCCCCTGGGTGTCAATAGGTAAAGGTAAATGTTTCCCCTGTGCAATCAGACATGACTGGACAAGGAAGACCTTTACCTACTGACCCCCAGGTTCTGCAAAACAATTGCTGGGTTTTTGGCTTAAATCACTTCTGTACTTTTGAAGCTTTTTTGAAAGAGTGCCTCGAACACCTGGAGCAAGTGTTTGGCTGCCCATTTTTCAACAGTAATGTCTTCCCACAATATAAACACTCTGCTTCTTGGAAATGTTGCTTTGGTTAATATCTTGGCCTCTTTTCCTCTCTAATGTTTACAGATTAGGGAAGTCGAATTTCTACATAGTGTAAACACCTGGTGGCTTTCCATAACAAACGTTTAAATTTATTTATCTTTCAATTGTCGGTTGAACACTGCTGTGAGAAACAGGACCTTCTCACCCTTGCAGGGGAGCTTGGGAGGGGGCTTTTTTTGGTGACCACTTTCCTTTCAAAAAGAAAATGGTTAGGAAGAAGAGAGAAGAGAAAAGTCCTATAGACAGCTGTTATCACACAATCGAAGCTGAAGTTTTATGTCTCAAAATGGTTTGTCTTGCTGCAATAGCTGGACACGTTCCTCAGCTGTAGACAGAAATAAATCTGTCTCTAGCAGACTACTTGCACCATAAAATATAACCCTGGGAACTATCAGGAAGGAGCCCTCTTCATCCTCTTTCTCTCGTACGAAGTATCTAAACTGCATTATCTCTTGCTCCTCTGGAAAGCACCTCCTCTTTCCTGGGAATCCAGACCACCTTCTATCACAGGATTGTTCCTCCTGCAAATACCCCCATCCTCCAATCCACTGCAACCCTGTCAGGGGTCTGAAATGGATCAGAGTCAGCCAGCTGATTCCTGCGCCTAATCAAGGTTACTTTCAGAATTAGAATAACAAAGTTGAAGGGAGCTTGGAGTCTCTAGACCAGTGGCGGCTAACCTTTGGGGGCTCCTGTGCCAAAAATTGTGCGCACGCTTGCACGCTCGCGTGCCAGCACCCAGAAGGCAATGCGCTCCCCACCCCCTACGCATGCGTACGCAATCACCACCCACCACTCCCTTACCTGCACTGCATCTCACAGCTGATTTTCAGCCAGTCTGAGGCCTTTTTCGGCCTCCCAGAGGCTTGAGGAAGGCTTCTGCAGGCTTTGCAGGCCAGAAACTAGGCCTGTTTCATCATTTCCGGTATTTTCGGAAAAACGGAAAGTGACAAAACGGGGCTAGTTTTCGGCCTGCAGAAGCCTTCCTCAAGCCTTTGGGAAGCCAAAAAAGGCCTCAAACTGTCCGAAAATCAGCTGTGAGGCATGCGCATGCGCAGTGAGTTAAGTTTGCCTGCAGTTCCCGTGCCATAGGTTCACCATCAGGGTCCTAGACCAATCCTTTTCAATCAGAAGACCCTAGACCAGTGCTGGCTAACCTTTTCGTCGTCATGTCCTGAAAGTATGCGTACGTGCACATGTGTCTACACCCAAAATGCAATGCACACATGTCCCCCCACCCCCTGTGCATCCACATGTGCCTCCTCTGTGCCGCGTGCCTCTGCACGTGCATGCATGACACCACCCCCCGCGCGCATCTCCCCCCATGCATGTGCAGCAGATACCCAACAATCAGCTGGCTGGCGGGGGGCGCGTGCATGGGCAGTGGATCAGTTCTGGGTGACGGCTTGCGTGATGGCAGAAATGGCTCTGCGTGCCACTTTCGGCACCTGTGCCATAGGTTTGCCATCATGGCCCTATATCATTCTGGGCAAGTGATTGTCAATACTTTTTTTAGAAAGCCTCCAGTGATAGAGCATTCACAACTTCTGGAGGCCAGCTGTTCCACTGGTTAATTGTCCTCACTGTCAGGAAATTTCTCCTCTAAGTTTTAGGTTGCTTGTCTTCTTGAATGGTTTCCACTCATTGCTTCTTGTCCTACCCTCAGGCGCTTTGGAGAATAGCTTGACTCCCTCTTCTTTAGGGCAGCCCCTGAGATTTTGGAACACTGCTATCCTGTCACCGCTAGTCCTTCTTTTCATTAAACTAGACATACCCAATTCCTGCAATTGTTATTCATATGTTTAGTTTTCTTCCCACTCCTAGTCCAGCACCTTAAACCCTAAATCTCACCAGCTGTCATATGTGTGTCAATGTAGATCCTTGTCTCTATAAAAACAGGGACTGCTGTCAATCCTGGTGTTGTGGGTTTCTTTAGGCAGTGGCCCCCAACCTTTTGGGCACCAGGGACCAGTTCCATGGAGGAGTTTTTCCACGGAATGGAGGGGGCTTGGTTTCGTGCCTGCATCTTGCGGATGGGGCTTTGCTTGTTTGCGTGGCCTGGTTTGTGGCTTGCTGCTGACCGGTGCCAGTCCACAGACCCGGGAGTTGGAGACCCTTGTCTTAAGGCATCAACATTTGTTGATCGGAATAGCCTGAAATGGAGAGTTCACCATTGCATAAAATGTAAAGAAGAAACTGCCTACGACGAATGTGTGAACATGTGAGTGTTGGAGAATAATATTTCTGTGTGTCAAGGTGTGTGTCTCGGTGTGTGTCTCTTTCCCAGAACTGCACATACCATTAAGGGTTTGATCCACCATCTGTTAGTCTGTTTTTGTGGACTTATTGTGGGAATCTCAAAAGAGTTGATATGGTGGCTTTCTGTACCTCTCCTGTCCCTGGACTTATATTTATATGTCCGAGTCAGAGTTTTAATGTCCTAACCACCTTTGGTACATCTACATATCCACTGGTGGAAAGTGACACGAGTTGTAAAGGCCAAAAGAAAAGTACAGTTTGTGACTGGTTTACCAGCAAGACTTAAACACACAGTCTTGAAAGTGCTACACATAATATCCGTTCCTTGGCAAACAAGTCCGTACATATTTTAAGACGGTTGCTGCAATTGTATATTCTGACTTTCCCGGTTTAAATTATATTCTTTCACACCAGTCCAAATCGGAATACCTCCTGTCCCTGAAAGGGACTTTATTTACTGTTATACTATTAATAAATTCATCTGCAGGGGTACTTTTATATCACAATCAGAAAATTTCATCTAGAGAATTCCACAGCCAGCATGCTTTAACTGGACTTCAACTCCCAGAATTTCCCAACCAGCGTGCATTCAGAAGTGTGAATTTTAACTCCCAGAATTTGCTGGCCAGCATGGTCTAAGATATGCAAACTTCAACTTGCTTGGTGGGAAATTCTGGGAGTTGAAGTCCAACATCTCTTCAGGCTGCCAAGGTTAAGAAACACAGATCTAGTGGAAAGGTTGGCAACCTTTTTGTAATCTTAGAAGCCATTCCCCCACCCAACCAGGAATACCTGCAAGTCATAGTCAACGAAGTCAGGATGATGGTTACATAGGTTGCACACACAGCGGAGATACAATACTTCAGTTGCATCCTGTTGATTTTGTTTTAATCTGCCTTGTGGAGACCTCGATCCAAGTTTCAAAGCCTGAGAGCCAGCAAACCCCTGTGGAGTTGGTGGCAGACGGTGTCAAAAAACTGAAACGTGTGTCTTTAAGAGGCCTTCTTTTCAAGTTAGCCAAGATGATTGATGCCTTCTCCCCGCCCCCCCCTCCAAAAAACTTTGGGCAACAAAGAAAACAACGTGGAACACATTGATTGTTTCAGCCCAATTTGGCCTGGAAGGATAGGCTGTCTTCCAAACCCTGACCTCATTTTCCATGTTTGTCCCAACAGATTCCAACACATCAGACAGCAGGCAATAAAGGATAAAGAATGTAGGCTGCAAACCCTCCAGGCTTTGTTGTAGAGGAAAATCCTACACAATTCCTGAGGATCCCTCCTAAGCCAGCTTTTGCTTTCTTTGCTGCAGATTCAGGGGACAGCCTGTCCCACACGACGTCTTCCCCGCAACCTTCTCCGGCCATTTCTGCCCACGTGTTGAGGAGTGCCAACCCGTCTCTCACCTCCGACCATGCCAGCACCGATGCAGCAGCAGCTGAGGAGACAGCCAGCGAGTCGGAATCTGTCTTTCTGCCTGACTATCTCTTTTTATCCAACTGTGAGACTGGAAAACTCAGCCATGTTAGGTAGAATTGTGCTCTTGGCTGCCAGATTTATTTATTTACTTATTTATTCAATTAATTTGCCGCCCATCTTGTAACGAAACAACTCTGAGCTGCCTTTTCCGTAGAACTGATGAGCTCTGTGAGACTTAAACCATGATTGGTGGCTTAGTCAAATTTATCTGTCCTAAGTAAAATGTGATTTTTGTTTCCCTATGTTTTGGAGCTCAGCAAGGGTTTTTCCGCAAGGTGAGCGTCCCGCCTTGTTAATGGTTCGCCTCAGTCCCTTTTTCTAATCCTGTTGAAGTTATACGAAGGTAGAGATCTATTCTAACTGATACCATAGCCTGATCTGAAGCTTACTGGGAGTACAGGTAATTATACTTAAGTATAGTAGTTCTTAAACTTGGGGTGATTTAGGTATTTGGCCTAATGGTTAAGGCACAAGAGTAGAAAATGGAAATTCTAGTCCCGCCCTAGCCATGGAAGCTACCTGGGTGACCTTGGGCCAATCACCAGGAGACGGTGAGTTCTAGTCCCACCTTAGGCATGACAGCCAGCTGGGTGATATTGGTCCAATCAGCAAGAGACAGCGAGTTCTAGCACTACCTTAGGCGTGAAAGACAGCTGGGTGACTTTGCCCCAAATGCAGGGGTGGGATTCTACCAGTTGGGACCGGTTTGGGCGAACTGGACGTTAAAAGTTTCATCTGGTTCATCGAACCAGTATTTCAATTGACCAGCTGGCCTCGCCCCCCTCCCCTCCCCATGTGGCCCATTTTTGATTAAGTTAAATGCAGGGTACGTGTGCAGGCTCCGGGAGGGGGGGAAAGCGGGCCTTCGGGAAGTCCAGAAACGGGCCTGTTTCTGGTTTCCGGAGGGCCTCCAGAGCCTGGGGGAGGCTGTTTTCACCTTCCCAGAGGCCCAGGGGAGGCTTCCGGATGTTTGGGATGGCGAAAAACAGCCCTCCCGGAAGTTCCGGTAGGCCACATTCACCCTGGTCATGCCCACCCAGCAACCAGGCAGTGAACCTGTTGCTGGGATTTTTGAATCCCACCACTGCCCAAACACCAGGAGACAGTGAGTTCTAGCGCTACCTTAGCCATGGAAGCCAGCTGGGTGACTTTGCCCCAAATACCAGGAGACAATGAGTTCTAGTCCTGCCTTAGCCATGGAAACCAGCTGGGTGACCTTGTGCCAATCTCTCTCTGCCAACTACGCACAGGGTTGTTAGGAGAAAAAGAGGAGAAGGAAGATGTGTTGGATATATTTGCTACCTTGAATTTGTTTGTAAAATAATAAAGGCAGGATTCAAATAAATAATCAATCCTGGGACTGGTGGAACAAATTGGAAATTGCTTGTTTGTGGCTCCAGTTTATTTATTTATTTAGAAAATTTACAAAGCCACCTACTCGCTCACAGTAACTCTAGGCGACATAAAAAGGTAAAGGTTCACACATACGTGCTAGTCGTTTTCAGCTCTAGCGGGCGGTGCTCATCTCTTTACAAAGCTGAAGAGCCAGCGCTGTCCGAAGACGTCTCTGTGGTCATGTCGCTGGCAGGACTGAATGCCGAAGGCGCACGGAAGGCTGTTCCCTTCCCACCAAAGCGGTCCCTATTTTTCTACTTGCATTTTTACATGCTTTTGAACTGCTAGGTTGGCAGAAGCTGGGACAATTAACGGGAGCTCACTCTGTTACCCGGCGCTAGGGATTCGAACCGCCGCACTGCCAACCTTTCTAATCGACAAGCTCAGCGTCTTAGCCACTGCTCAGTAAGGCGGCTTACAAGTAATAAAATTACAGTATAGGGAAAAATAAAGACAAAATAAAGATAAACAATAACCTCTCCATCCTTTCAACAAGACACAGTCAAAGTTTTGCACTGCCGCTGCTGAGATGCTTGTGTAAAACGACATAGTTTGTTTTCTTTGTGAGTGGCATTGTTTTCTTTGGTAGTGGCATTATTTTAGCCTGGAAAAAAGGATAAGGTAGTCTTTGAATTACAGCTGGTAACCATTCGAAGGTAGGACCGATTCTTCCGAAAGATAGAACCCATTTCCGAAGTTCTAACAGCTGCCTTTCCTGTAGTCACATGACCCCATTTTGGGCCTTTGTCATCTGGCCGGCATTTACAGCTCTTTGCAGCCTCCTACAATGACATGACTGAAATTATTGTGGGGTGGGGGGTTAGGGTTTGCTGAAAACTGGATGTTTGTTTCTGGTTTTTGGCAGAAAGGCCCCATAACAAATAATGGGTTTGCTTGATGACGATAGATTGACTTGGTCACTTTTAAGGAGCATAAATACCAACTCCCAGAATTCCCCAAGGAGCATGCTTTAAGAAATGTGGATTTTAACCTATTGGCTTTGGAATTCTAGGAATTGAAGTCCACACATCTTAAAGTTACTTAGACAAACCTTGGTTTAATTATGCTGAGAAACCACCATTTTGCCTGATTTGACATCCTTGTGGGTCCCAATGGACAGAAATGAGTTGAGTTGAAAAGGTAACTAGTTCAGGGGTATCAAACTCAAGGCTGAATGAAGCCTGTGGGTTGCTTAGATGCAGCCCTCATGGCTGCCATGGAAACAGCGAAGGACCGGCCCATGGTGCCTCTGCCAGTGAAAATGGAGCCGGGAGGGGGGCATGTATGGCCCTCAGGCTATGTTTTCACTGGCAGGGGGCTGCAGGAAGCCATTGTGGCTGAAAACGGGGCCCGAGGAGGCCGCATGCAGGGTCCCCGGGCTCCTTTTTCGCTGGCAGAGGGCTCACAAAACAAACTAAAAACTAAATAAAAGGAGAAATATTTCCCCTTTTGCATTTGAGCATGGGACAGGAAAAGAGAAAGGGACAGAGGAAAGAAAGGGAAAGGAAAAGCAAAAGAAGAAAAGACAGGAAGAGAGCAAGGAAGAAAAAAGAAAAGGAAGGAAGGAAGGAAGGAAGGAAGGAAGGAAGGAAGGAAGGAAGGAAATTCTAAGGAGAGGGAGGAAACGTCTGAGAGAAGTCCCGCCTTAGCACTTGGCCACCACAGGTGCCCCCCCCCAACATAAATAATGTCGAACTGGCCATGCCCCCCCCAGCCCGCCCGAGGTTAAACACAACCCTGCTGTGGCCCTCAATGAAATCGAGTTTGACACCCCTGAGCCTAGAGGAAGACAGAAATATAAAATTAGGTGTCCCAAACAGCAGAAACTTGGAAGGATCAGCTCACCTTCAAAGCATGTTTTAGCCCCCAAATCTCTCTTCGAGTTTTCAAGGTTCTTCCTTACCGGTGAATGTAAAACACCTATCTGTAACGTAATTACATCCAGTGCTCGACTTACAACAGTTCATTTAGCAACTGTTCGAAGGTACAGCGGCACTGAAAAAAGAGACAGGGCCATTTTTCACACTTACGACCATTTGCAGCATCCCCATGGTCAAGTGATCAAAATCGGGTGCTTGGCAACTGACTCACATTTGAGACGGTCGCTTGCATTCTCCTGGGGTCATGTTGCTCCCCTTTTGCGATTTCTGATGAGCCAAATCGATGGGGAAACCAGATTCGTTTAACAACCGTGACACTAACTTAACAACTGCAGTGATTCATTTAACAACGAAAGATCATAAAATGGGACAGAACTCCTTTAACAAATGTCTCATTTAGCCACATACATTTTGGGTTCAATTGTGGTCACATGTCCAGGACTACCTGTATTTGAAGGAAAACCTGTCAGGTAAGTATGATAGAAGCAGCAGCACCACCTATTTCTTTGCATTTTTGCACTTCTACACCGCAGGTATTGAACCATTGAGCCATTGTAGTGGGAGGAAGCTTAAAAAAAAAAGGGTCCGGAGATGGAGTTGGTAACACCTGCCTCTCTTCCAGGTGCCACAGTTGGTCCAATTCTGACCGTTCTCTGGAGAGGACGTTATCCGATGATGTCTTCTTTGACTTCGTGTCTTCTCAGTCCTCACTGTGCTTACAGCTTTCTGGCGGCCTGCTTCAAGAGATGGTCCAGCCAACCCTTCATGGAATCCTTCCAAGAAACACAGATTCAAGCGGACCTCCTTCTGGTGACTTCTCTTCTTCCTCGCCCTTGTCAGGGCCTCCTGCGACGCCAACCATCCTAGCAGAAAAAAGCCAGAACACTCTACCCTATGGCTTTACCGAAATGGAGATTTTGGCTAAGACTCCCCCTCCCAGGCCACCAAAGCCCTCCCACTTTCCGGACAGAAGAGCTGAAGAGCAGGCTGGTGTGGTCCTTCAGAATGGACACGCAAGGATCTCCAGCTCTCCAGGGATCTTCGTTCCAAGGAGGATTTCCCTCTCTGGACTGGACAGCATGAAGAATTGGAGAGGTAAGGGCCAATTTGGAGATCCCAGAGTTGGATTATTAAAATATGTGTCTTCTCTGTCCCCCAACACGATGGTGATCTTATCCATTCAGTCATGTCCGACTCTTGGCAATTCTGTGGGCCTGGTTCTCTCCACATCTAATTCTGCACTGCGTCTTTGAGTTGTTTTATACTCTGGCTGGTGTCAGCTTTGATGGTGTCCAATCGCCATTTTCTTTGATAGCCTGTTTGCTTTTACCACTAACTCTTCCAAGCATCATTGCTTTCTCCAGTGAATTCCCCTGTGTGACATGGCCAAGGTAAATAAGACACAGTTTTGTGGTTTTGCCTTCCAGTATCATGTCTGGTGTCATGAGCTCCATACTTGTTTCTTGGTCACCTTTTGTGTCCAAGGAATACGCAGGAGCCTTCTCCAACATCACAGCTCCAATGATCTGATGTTGTTCCTGTCTTGCTTTTTTAAGGCCCTCCAACATACAAATTGTAATATTCTCTCCACATTCATCTTTTATGGACCCCAATTTAGATAGGTTGATTAGGAGGCCAGACAAAGGCTTTATATAATCAGCATAACAAACTAATCACATAGGTTGGGTTCTGTCAGGTGCAAGCAAACAGAACCATTCATGAATGATCTCAAACAGAGACGTCATTGCTAGCCACCAGTGTTACAAGAATCTCCCCAGACTGACTGCTTTCCCTTGGGATCAGTCAGATAAGGCTTCAGGGATTCTGGGGGTGGTCAGGCCTGTGTCGCTTTCTGCAGTGCAAGGACTCCAAGCTCAACCCCCTCTTAATGCCTCCCTCCAGCCTAGATGGAGATTCCACCATGAGGTCAAACAACATTGCCTGAAACATATGGGTGATGCAAAATGTCCCAGCAGCTCAGCCAATATAACACAGGAGCAGGCAAGCAATGGCAATTAGTTTTGATGGCTGCATGCTAACCTTGAATTGCAGGCAGTGTAACATCCAACTGTCCTCAGAGCCTATGAAATTCCATCTCATAACAGTAACAGCCAACAAGGTCATCAATTATCAGTCACGGAGGAGATCCACCCCGTATTAGGAAATCTGCCATTGAGGAAATAAGCGAGACAGTGCTCGGTTTTTAAAAGGTCTTTAGGGATTTTGCATCTATTTTCTTTTTCTTTCTTTTCTTTCTTTTTTTCCCCCCTTCCTTCCTTGGACAGACATTGTCTCTGCCTGAGCGTTTGGATCATATTTCTAACCCTTGTATAGTAAAGAACCAGCCTGCTTATCAGTGTCCTGACCAATTCTTGGAAGCTTTTGAGAGCAACACCCATCCTTGGAAATGTTATTCTTCTTACTCATGACTCTAGAGTTGTGTTGGAAAGGAGTTTGCTAAAAGGGTGTGTGCCGGTTGAAGCATAAAAACAAAAACATTCACACATACAGTGATGAATTTTTCCAAATGAACCCTCTTTCACAGTAGACTCAACTCCAGCCCGACTTCAATCACATAATATGTTCTCCATCCTTATCATATGCAGGTAGTCCTCAACTTACAGCAGTTCGTTTAATGGCCGCTCAAAGTTACAACTGAAAAAAGTGACTTAGGGCCATTTTTCACATTTACAACCATTTGCAGCATCCCCGTGGTCAGGGGATCAAAATTCAGACCCTTGGGATCTGGTTCATATTTATGCAGTGTCTGGGGTCATGTGTTCCCCTTTTTCGACCTTCTGACAAGCAAAGTCGATGGGGAAGCTAGATTCACTTAACGACCGTGTTATTTAACAAAAAAAGAAGAAATTTTTTACCCCCCCCCCACCTGCAGAGGCTGCCATTGCAATATTTATGATATAGGAGGAGTGGCAGAACCTGGGGACGGATTTAAAAGAGGGATCAGCCTAGAATCCCTACATAGACACAAGCGATCTAAGTCCGAACCCCTTGAATTCCATTGAGCCTTATCTAACTCCAAGCAGGTGCTAAGATTCCTGTGTATAAGCATGAGTAGCAACAAAACAAATTAATTGGAGTTTCACATGTGGACCCTTACTCCTGACACATTTTAGTCTTGGACCTAAGTGCCTCTCGAACAGAGACTATGTCCGTATGATGGAGGACTAATTGAATCAGTGGAACGTGTTATTCTCTATTGCCCTCTTTATGTAAGTGCTCACCAGGAATTATTATTTCCACTCTTTACTGCATACATTATCCTGGTCATTCTGATTTATTTTATCTTAATCAAATCAATTTCATTTTCTTGACCATAGTCAACTACCATTCTGTAGTCTGCAGAGAATGTCAGATTAACCATCAATCCTTTTTAGATATTGTAGGATAACTATGTTTTTGTTTTAATCTTAATTAATTGTGACTCTCATCAATTTGATTTGATTTGACCTAAGGGGCTTATTTTGGAGTAAGTTCATGCTGCAGTTCTATAATACTTGCCATGAAGTAACTTCAGACTCAACGGTACTGAATAGGGCTTCAAATCAATGTATTTTGGCCCCGGTTAATTGGATAGATTTGAATTTCTCCCAAATTGCATATTGTACCGGTGCTTAGAACAAGTTCTCTTTCCTTCTTCATAAAATATTGTGCTTTTCTTAATTTAGCAATTTCTCATGAATTGCCTTCTGCTCTTTTGTTTTGTTTTGTAGCAGACATGGAAGAAAATTCTTTACGGCGCAGGGATAAGAGGTTGAGCTTGAACTTGGTAAGTGTTACTTTTTCTCTTACACACACTTAACACAGTGGTTTTAGCAGGGGAGGTTTGAAAAAATGTGAACCAGTTGGCAGATAAAGGTAAAAGAAGAAAGAAACAGCCCCTGATACAAACTAGAACCAAAATTGTCCCCAAGGTGCTTTTTTTTCTCTCTCCAAAACTTTTTCTCTCCAACTTTTTTGGTTTTTTTCTTTGAAAACTTTTTACTTCTCATCCAAGAAGCTTTTTCAGTTCAAGAAAGTTCAATTACCCAAAATGATGGTTTCCTTAATTATGGTTTACTGTATAATGTGCAAGTTCACAAGTTTCTGTTCTGACCCAAACCTTGTTCCGAGGAAACAAACACAAAACAGAGGTAACAGCAAAACCTTTTAATGATCCTTTATGAATTCCGTTCCTTCACGGTTAAAAGGCTGTTTCAAACTAATAGTCTCTGATAAGAACGAACCTTGCCAAGGTTGTGCAAGGCTGCCAAGAACACTAGATAAAGTTGCCGAGAAATATTTCAAACACAAAGAGTCTCCAAACACCAACCAAGATAATCCGAACGTCCTCAAGGCTTGAGTGCAAAAACGTCTTTGCTTCCTGCAAAGAATCCCGGTCTCTCAGGCTTGCTTTTATCTCTTAAGGGAGGGGCCACTTCCTTGCAGCCTTACTCCCGGGTCACCCATGCTGCTGCAGCTGCTCTTTTCTTGGAGCATCCTATGCGCGCATGCGTACTGGGCACAGGCTCCTCGGGGGCCTCTTCATCACTGCTGCCAGCCTCCACAATCTCCAAAGGCACCACTGCATTCCCTGATGGTCCTGGCCCCATCCCTGTCTCACACGCAGACCCCCCATCTGAGTCCTCGCTCTCCGAGACCTCAGCCATCCGCACCTGCTGCCAGCAAACCACAACAGTGACACTGTCGGGTTTGCAGGCCATTCTATGCCACAAGTAAATAAGCCACATTTTAGCTTAGTATCGGTGTGGAACAGCCCTTAATCGTTTTGACCCCTTTAGCTGAAGGATTGACAAATCAGAGGGAAGAAGAAACTGATATAAATTTCTTACATTTGCTGTACGTTGGCAATCAGATGACCAGAATCTCTGAGATGACAGGGGAACATCTTGTAATTTTATCCGAAAGGTTTTCAATCCTGTGAATTTTGAGGAAATTAGCTACATGTTCTGTCATCCTAGTCCCCCCTCGCCTGTAGATTGCAATGCTCTTCACCTTATAAAAACAGAAACGTTGACAGATATCTCCACACTACTAAAACTCGGTCACCTTCAATTAGCCAAAGCAGTGCATTGTAGGGAAAATAATTTTTGCATCAAGGTACCTCAAATGCATCAACTTAAAGAATGGGTACAAAATTCATCACCCATTACTGCAATGGAGTTGACATTTCAAGGATCTTCAGAACAGCTGTATTTGTGGTCACTGCAACAGCACCATGATTAGCGCTGGACACGTGAACATGATTTCCAGTCCTTGCTGCGAGCTTTCCACAAACAAAGACAGTGGGGAAGCCAGCAGGAAGTCGGAGGTTGTTTCCATTCCCATCAATTTTTGGCCACTTATGGTCTTCCTATTTATCTCTTTAAGCAAGTAAACATTGACAAAACAGGTCTAAAGGTTCCCTGGATGGTCTAGGGATCAATTAGACTGAAAGACCATCTGGAGAACCCATGACTTTTGATATTCAGAGTAACAGAGTTGGAAGGGACCTTGGAGGTCTTCTAGTCCAACCCCCTGCTCAAGCAGGAGATACTACATCATTTCAGACAAATGGCCATCTTGTCTGTTCTTGAAAGCCTCCAGTGTTGGGGCAACCACAACTTCTGAAGGCAAGCCATTCCACTGGTTGATTGATTATTTTATTTATTTATTTATTTAATTTGTCAAATGCTTACAAGATACAGGTATAAGAATAAACATAGTGTTGAATACATGAGATAGATACTTATAAGAAAAATATAAAAGAAACAATAGGACAGGGACGGTAGGCACGATTGGTGCGCTTATGCACGCCCCCTACAGACCTCTTAGGAAAGGGGTGAGGTCAATAGTAGACAGTCTAAGGTTAAAGTTTTGGGGGTTTGGGGAAGAAACCACAGAGTCGGGTAGAGTATTCCAAACATTGACCACTCTGTTGCTGAAGTCATATTTCCTGCAATCAAGTTTGGTGCAGTTAACCTTGAGTTTGTATCTATTGTGTGCTCTTGTATTGTTATGATTGAAGCTGAAGTATTCATTTGCAGGTATGACATTGCAATGTATGATTTTATATACTATATTTAGATTGGACCGAAGGCGGCGTATTCTAGGTTTTCTAGGTCTAGAGTTTCAAGTCTGGTGGCATAAGGTATTCTGCAATGAGTAGAGGAGCGGAGAACTGTTCTTGTGAAATATTTCTAGACATTTTCAATTGTGCTAATATCAGATACATGATATGGGTTCCAGACTTATGAGCTGTATTCAAGTATAGGTCTAGCAAATGTTTTGTATGCTCTAGTTAGTAGTGTGATATTACCAGAGAAGAAGCTACTCTTAATGCCTTTTTGGCTATGTAGTTACAGTGGGCTCCAGCACTTAGATCATTAGAGATGAATACTCCAAGATCCTTGAAAGAGTTTGGATCTGACACAAGGTCTTGACTATTTAGTTTGTATTTTATTTTCTGATTTTTTTTGCCAATATGTAAGACAGAGCATTTATTTGTTGAGATTTGAAGTTGCCATTTGATTGACCATTCTGATACATAGTCAAGGTCTTTTTGAATGGTAGCACTATTGTCTCTGGTGTTGAAACTTTACATCATCAGCGAAGAGAATGCAGTTGCTCTTAATATGATCATAGAGGTCATTTATGTAGAGTATGAAAAGAGTTGGTCCTAGGACACTGCCTTGGGGGACACCACTGTTGACAGGTACAGAATTTGATAGGACACTCCCAATTTTGACCATTTGTTGCCTGTTTGACAGGAATGCTTCTATCCAGTTATGTAGGTGTCCAGAGATACCATAAGATTTTAGTTTTAGTAGTAGTTTGTCATGTACCACTGACTCAAAAGTTTTACAGAAGTCTATGTAGATTGCGTCTATTGCTTTGCCCTGATGTGTAGTCCATATGTTCTTGTGCTCACCATTAGGAAATTTCTCCTTAATTCCAGGTTGCTTCTCTCCTTGATTAGTCTCCATCCATGGCTTCTTGTCTTGCCTTCTGGTGCTTTGGAAAATATCTTGACCCCTCCCCCTGATCATTGTGACAGCCGCTTAAATATTGGTAATATAATTAAAAAAATAAAGTAGGTAATACAAATGTATACATTGATTACTGTGCTGACTATCAAAAGCAAGAGCCACAACCCACGCCACAATATCCATCACCCAAACATCCAACGTTGGGGATGCACGCCCGTTACTTCCTCCAGACTCACTGCTTCATATCTTAAATGCAAACTACTTAATGCAAGAAGCCTCACAAATAAAATGCATGAGTTCCCCATTCTTCTAAGCTCAGCCACATTTGACATTATATTTGTCTGTGAGACATGATTAAATACATATTTCCCAGATTCCATTACCACTGCAAGAGAATATCAAGTTTTTCAGTCAGATCGCGAAATCTGTAGAGGTGATGGAGTTGCTATATTCTATAAAAAGTCTCTAAATCTAAAAAAGATCCAAATTATACAAGAGCTTGCTCTTCCTGAGACCATCGTCTGTGAACTGTCCTTAAACACCTCAATCCGCTTCTTACTTTGATATCATGCCTCTGACTATGATATAATTCATGCAAACAAGCTAACTTTACCACTGACATGTGCTGCCTCCTGCCTACACTAAAAGAATGTACAACTGAACCCATTCTTACAACCCTGTACAATGCCGTTACTACACTAGGACTGGAACAACTAGTAACTAACAATACTAGACTTAACAACTGCCTCGATCTCATCTTCTGCAACAGTTTGAATTCAATTTACAGAATACAAATTAAAGAACCCTTTTCCAACAGTGATCACAGCATGATTGACTTTTGTCTCAACGTATGTCCTCACAAAAATCACCATAACGACAGGACCCCCAATTATAACTTCAAAAAAGGCAACTATGATCTTATAGACAACGATCTCTCATCTCTTGATTGGCAACTTCTATTCACTGGGTGTAATACTGTTGAAGACCATTATATTTTTACTTGAAGTCAAGAGTCATCGAACTATACGTCTGGAACTCACATTACATATCTGATGGTAATACAATTGAGAAAGTCCAGAAATATTTTACGAGAGGAGTCCTCCACTCCTCTACTTATAGCAGAATACCTTATACCACCAGACTTGAAACTCTAGACCTAGAAAACCTAGAATTACGCAGCCTTCAGTTCGATCTAAGTATAGTACATAAAATTATATATTGCAATGTCCTACCTGTCAATGAATACTTCAACTTCAACCAAAACAATACAAGAGCACAAAATAGATACAAACTAAAGATAAACTGCACCAAACTTGATTGCAGGAAATACGACTTCAGCAACAGAGAAGACAATGTCTGGAATACTCTACCTGACTCTGTGGTTTCTTCCCCAAACCCCAAACACTTTAACTGTCTACTATTGACCTCACCCCTTTCCCAAGAGGTCTGTAAGGGGTGTGCATAAGCGCACCAACGTGCCTACTGTCCCTGTCCTATTGTTTCTTTTTTTTTCTTATTTGTATCCATTTCATGTATTTATAACCACTTATACCTGTTATCTAATAATAAATAAATAAATAAATAAATAGGAACAATTTAATTGGAACAATTCAGTTGAGCCAAATACTACCTCTCTTAGACAACATATCAATAGTCAGAGATTTGGAAAAAATTACTTTGGCCAGCCTGATTTGGACCACCATCTTACTTTCTAAACATGGCATCAGAGGGAAGAACAATTAGAAAAATGCTTCACTTGGCTGCCGGATCAGGATTTGGATGTTAAAACAAACAAGGATTTGTAAAACCATTGGTTTTCAATTATAACTAGTTTACAGTCAATAATTTATAGCTTTTTTTAAGATTGAGTTTATACATTACACTAAGAAAAAAACAATCTCATTTTGGGGCTTAGTGATTTGTATGAACTAAACTTCTGGAATAAATTAATGTTAGCATATGTCATCAAGAGCTAGTTGAGGTTGGAGGAAAGCAATCAGCAGAGAATAAGGATAATTTGAAAATTGGACAGTGCAAAGTACCCCAAAGCCCAAAATGATCTTGTGTCATTTTATGTATAAATGGGAGAGGCTGAGTTTTGCAAAGCAAAATGCTCCATCAGCAAATTGTGTCCTTGAATGAGGGATTTATTCATCAGTTGTGATCCCTCCCCAAAAAACTATAATTAACCATTTCAGAAATCTCTTCATCAATCCAACATTTTGTGCTTGAAAAAAAAATCGTGCATATATCTGATATGACTGCATTAAATATTGATTTGGAATTCTTTTTCTGCTTAGCTTGTATTGATGCAAAAATGGGATATTGAGGTCTCTGTACTGTAATACTGGGAACAATGCAATGGGAAGGAGGGACAGGGAAGGCATTCATAGCCATCTTGTTTTTAAACAGAATGAACTGCAAAAGTTGAGAAGGCAATTCTGAACAATGTCGATTCAGAAAGCTGGTGAAGCTTCCATTATTAAGCGATTGAATCCTCAGACAATCCTCATAGGGACAAGTGCCATGTATTGTTTAACCCAAAACATTTCTCTTTGTGATCGGTGGTCTCTCTACCTATTGCTGATACTAAACTATATTTCCCAACGATGCCAGTGTGAAAGAATGCCAAGTGTCAGGCACGAAAGACGAGGTCCACACGTGAAGTTCCAATTAAATTGATTTATTTCTATTAGTCCAGGATCTTCTCAACTAAGGATTAGCCCTTGCTAGGGGTCCATAGGGAGGTGGGGGGAGGTTGGATTCAGTCTATTTGTGGCTATGTAGGGATTCTAGGCTGATCCTTCTTTTAACTCTGAACCCAGGTTCTGCCATTCTTTCTACACTGGGTGCTTCAGTTCAGCAACTTCTGAAGAACCACAAGATTACTACCTTGGTGCTGTAATTTTGAGCTGAATTTGCTGTGGAGAAAGCAGCCTAAAGCAAAACACAAGATTAATATGAGATGTCCATCCATGGTCAAGAAAAGTCCTCAAGGGACTATCCATACATTCTCACTAGCACTTCTCCTTTAACTAGCCTTCCTTCCTTGGACCTGTAGGTTACAGCTTCATCTCTTGCACCCTTTTTACTCATTCAGAGATGACACAGGGATTGCAAGTAGGGAAAACAAGGCTTGTAGGATTTGCTGGTGGCCTTCAACTGAGTTAAAGGCCTTCACAGGTGATAATTGCCACTCGCCCCACGCACTGGGCTGCTTCTTTCTGCTTCTTTCTTCTTCTGCTTTTGGCTACATGCAAGGAAAGCAGCAAAAGTCTTTCTTCCTGTCCCCCAAACTCCACCAGAAATGAGTCTTTGGGACCCTGCAAGGCCTCCTGCTCCAAGAGGCTGAGCCGGCGTGACAAGTCTCCCAAAGACTCATTTCTGGCGGAGTTTGGGGGAAAGAAAGACTTTGCTGCTTTCCTTGCATGAAGCCAAAAGTCTCTCTCTCCCGCCCACCCTGAGAACAGAGCTAGAGACGGTATCCTGCGATCCCAAATGAAGAATGATTGATCGGTAGGAAAACGGGGTGGGGAATTTTGCTGTAGACTTTTGGGGGGGATTTTCCCAGAGTCTCTGGTCCACAGGATTTAAAATTATGAGTTTGGTGGTCCCTGAGGTCCAAGAGGTTGGCGACCCTTGATCTAGTCCAGCCCCCAGCTCAAGCAGGAGAACCGATATTATTTCAGACAAGTGACTGTCTAGTCTCTTCTTAAAAACTTCCAGTGATGGAGCACCCATGATCTCTGTAGGCAGCTGTTCCATTGGTTAATTGTCCTCACTGTTGGGAAGTTTGTTGAAGATGGATGGGTTTGTTTGTTTGCTTATTATTGAGAAGATTTTATATGGCTGCCCGCTCCCTCTTGATGACTCTGGGGGATTACGGGCAATTAAAAAAATACCGTCTAAAAAGAATAAAAAATCTAGGGTATGCTGAATGCCTGTCATTGTTCAATGGCACTCAATTTCCAGTATCTAAGGGGCTGCCAGAAAGAATAGAGAGACAACCTGTTCGCCAGTCCACCTGAAGGCAGGACAGGAAAAATAGATTGAAATTAATCAGAGAGAGAACTAGAACTAAGGAGAAATTTCCTGACATTTAGAACAATTAATCAGTGGAAAGGCCTACGGCCAGAAGCTGTGGGTCTCCATCACTGAAGGCTTTGAAGAAGAGATTGGAGAACCGTTTGTTTGAAATAGGAGAGAGTTGTCTGCCTGAGCAAAGGGTCGGACTAGAAGACCTCCAAGCTCCCTTCCAACCCAGTCATTCGCTTCTGATCTGGAGATGCCTTGCTGATCGTGCTCATTCTGCCTCTTCTTTTCTCGTTTTGTGAAGCCTCGCCGAGTGAGCCCTCTCTACTCCTGCGCGTCCAGCAACACCGAAGACAGTTACGTCCCCATGCACCCAAGCACCTCCCCTCCTATCGCAGGAACTGACTGCACCCCTGATGGCTACATTCCCATGAACCCAGGATCAGCTACGTTCGCTCTTGCCGAAGTTAGCACGGAAAAGCTCACCAGCCCCTTGCCTGAGCTCCCCTTGGATTTGGAACCCCCGCCGGTGAACCGAGATCTTAAGCCTCGGACGAAATGTAAGCTCTTTTCTTTCCCCCTGGTCTTTCCCCTTAAGGATCTCCCTAGCAGGCCTGGAGAGCAAGGGGATGGTGGAACTACTGTGAGCAAAAAGAGCTGAGAGAGAGATGTCAGTTCTAGGATATGAGACCAGGTCCGGGATTGGCACTGATGAACCTTTATTTTAATTTCCTAAAATGCCCGTAAGGAGGCAAGGTATGGGGATCTTATCTTCCATTGAGAAATCATCTTTCTAGCAGCTTTCCTAGTTTCCCCACTCTTCAATGATAGGCTAGTCCTCAACTTAACGACTGCAATTGAGATCGGAATTACGGTCATAAGTCATGGCAGTCATTAAACAGGTCACCGTGCACCTCTGCCCAATTTTATAACTTTTTTAAATTGTGAGCGTTAAGGGAATGCTACATTCATTAAGCAAAGACACCTGTTTTTCCTCAAATGGGCTTTTTTTCTTTTTTGCCAGAAATCAGAAATAAATGATAGAAAGTGGCAAAAGAATGTCGAAAATTGTGGTCACTAACAGTAGGATGCTGCAAACAACCATAAACATACCAAGCACCCCAACTGTAATCATGTGACCACTGGAACTTCAAAAATGGCCCTTAAGTAGCTCTTGGGAGGTTCTTCGTAACTTTGAACTGTCGCTAAACAACCGGTTGTTAAGTGAGGACTACCTGTAAACACCAAGATAAGATATTAGGAGAGAACCTGAAAGAAATGCTAAATGCTTGGGAAAAGGCAAAGAAACAGAAACAAGGCAAAAAAAACTTTCAAGAAATCAGAGGACAGATTTCAGGATACAGTAAGTACCCCGAAGTCCCAAAGACAGATGACATGGACAATAGCACATTTTGGGTTTGTCCAAATCACACAGGCAAGTCATGGCCACAGATTAGTTGGTGGCTAGATTCCATAGTGAAAAGAGAAAAAGTCACCCTACAACTTTGTGCAATTAAAGTTGCACAATTAAATCAGGGTAAACCCAAAGGTGCTTTTTCAAGAGGCAACTTTTCATTCAATAAGCTTCTTCTCATCCAAGAAGCTTCTGAAGAAGGTTCTTGGATGAGAAGTGAAATAGCTTCAAGTAAAAACAAAGTCTAGTTGCTTCTTAAAAAAGCATATTTGGAACAACCATGACCTGGATGATTGAGAATCTCCATAGACAATCAGAGTAAAATCTTTTTTGGGGGTGGGATAGTGACAGACAGACTGGTTTTAAAACCCTGTTATCGCCACCTATTGAAAGAAGCTCTGTCTTTCAGTTAATCACAACTCTAAAAATCCCAGAGTCCTGCAAAAATCTCCACTAGACCTCCCAAACAGGTTTTCAGATCAGTTTGTCACTAAACCTCATTCTTCAAAAAGAAACTTTTCAAGTTCTTCGGAGTTGCCTAAAGCTTGGAAGTTCTTTTTTTCCAAGCACAATTCTCAACAAGAGTTGCCTTCAACAAGATCTGTTGAGGTGAAAGGATTAGGATTGTAAAGAATTCCAGCTTCTGAAACAATTATCCCTGTGTCCTTTAAGGAAGAGACTTTCTTTTTCTAACAGTCACCTGACAAATTGGCAAAGAGGTAGGATCTCTTCCTTGATAATGGGAAAGTTTGAGCTTGCTTGTTGACATAACTAACTGTTGAAACTCTTGTCTGGCAACCAACTCTGAGAAGATTCAAGACAAAGAATCTTTGCAACAATATACCTCTGAAATTATCATCCTAAAGTTCCTGATAAGCTGTTTTTCTTGTTCCACAAACAACACACCATTTTGTTAATTCTCTTCTAGTTGTGAAGAGATTCGCAATGTATATTAATCCCAGCAGGACTCTAGACAAGCTCCTTGTTTTCTTAACTTGCTTCACATGGTGTTTTCCTAATTTGTTTCACATTAAAATCCTGGAAAATCAAATCAGGGTAGAAAGAATAAACTCTCTTTCTAATATGCCCCAGTTTATATATATATAATTTTTATGCTTCCCATCTTCCCTACAAGATAATTCTGAACAGTACCCACATCTTATTGTTACAAACAGACCCACCTTAGCTGCATGTTCTATTTATTCATTCTCCTTAATAACCACATAGCCTGGGACTCAACGGAGGAATCTGTACTGCTGTACTCCTTACTTCATTCCCCATGTCATTCTGATACAGGCGGTCTTCAACTTAGGGCAGGCTCCACTACTATCATGTGTTCTTATGGCTATAACGCAAGTCAGCTCTATGATCAACCAAATTTCATTATGTTTTTTTGTGGCTATCATTAAGTGAAAGACATGGATGTTACACAAACCAGTTGGGCCAGTTTTGCTGAAAACCAGAAGTAAATGCCACTTCGGTGCAAAAATGTTGTAAAACATGGTCATGTGATTGGAGAAAACAGCTATAAATATGAGCTGGTTGCCAAGTCATGTGAGTGGAGGGAGCAGCTGTTGGCACTTCATAATTGGGTCCTAAAGTATCCCTGTGGTGGTCCATCATAATTTTGAATGGCCTCTAAGCAACCATCCTTAAGTCAAGGAGTACCTGTATCCCATTGCTTCAATATGGAAAACCACCAGCTCTTAGAGAAAAAAGTCAGGTAATCTTGCAATTGTTTTATTTGGATACCCATAAACCATCCCAAAGCTAACAGCTCGCCCAACAGCTTAGGTTAACCTCTTGGGCTCACAGATTGGCCAATCCAACAGTCATAATTGAGAAGCAGTCTGGCACATGAAAGCTCCTACTGACTTTAAAGGCAGGATCATTAAAATAACTGCATCCCTTTTCTCTGAATCATCAACACAGAGCAAACAATGTTGATGACGGAGCTCAAATGTGTAATTCAGAGTCTCCATGTCTGAAAGCCAAAGATCTCACTGCCCACCCCCCAATTTATAGCCACGGTTAAAGGTTTCATTTAAAGGTATGAGCCGTGATAGCATAGTGGTTAGAGTGCAGTAGTGCAGGCTACTTGTGGTACCTGCCAGCTGGCTGCAATTTGGCTGTTCAAATCTCCCCAGACTCAAGGTTGACTCATCCTTCCGAAGTGGGTAAAATGAGGACCCAGATTGTCGGAGGCAAGAGGCTGACTCTGTAAATTGCTTAGAGAGGGCTGTAAAGCACTGTAAAGCAGTATATAAGTCTAAGTGGTTTTTCCATTGCTATCTACTCACCTTGTTAGAAAGATGTTCCAAATTTGCAGCACTTAACTGAGAATTCTTTCTGCATGAGCAACTCACCTGGACCACCTTCTCCAGAGTAGGTACAAAACTCTGGAACCACTTGATCGTTTGGGGCCACGTTGGTGCCTTGAGTCACTTGACTTGCCCAAATGATGGATTGTAGTACCTTCTCTGGCCTTTTTGAAGGTGGTGCTGCAGCTCAGGAAAAACCAAGCCGGCTTACTCATTGACTTGCCTTGGTGTAGAGAGAAGCAAGATGTAGGCAGCCGGATGTCCTTCAGATGGTTTGCATTTCAACTCCCCATGGAAGTTTATAGTCTGAACCCTAGGCTGAGCTCCAGGTTGAAGTCCCACAGGGTCAAATACGGCTTCTTTCTTGTACATATAGGTAGTCCTCAGTTTACCACCACAATTGCATCCAGAATTTTGGTCGTACGTCAGTGCAGTTATAAGTCGAGCGACCACTTGACTGAAACTGCCCATTTTACCACCATTTTGTGATGATCATAAAACAAATCATTAGACTCCATAAGCAAAATATGTGGTGGTTGAACAAATCCAACTTCCCCAATGGGCACATATCTTAGGATGCTCAAACCGATCATAAATACAAGCCAGTTCCCAAGTGCCCGGATTTAAATCAGATCAAATCAAAATTAAAACCAGAACAAGTAAAAACACTCAAGGAATACCCAGTTAATAATTCTAGAATAAGGTAATAAGTAACAGATAAAATCTATATTAAAATCACAATTTGGCATCCAAACTGTCAGTTACACATGGCCTAACTATATACTATAATATCAATCCTTAAACTGTGAAGCCCATAGTCATTAAATACTACAATGCAAAAGAGTAGTAATGCAAAGAGGTTTGCTACATTGTGTATGTAACATAAGCGCCAGAATTGCAACCACATGAGCACAGGCTACGTAAAGGAAAGTACAAGTCATACGGTACTTTTTCCAAGGCCTTTGTAACTTCAAACTGTTGTTAAATGAACAGTTGCAAGACAAGGACTACCTACAGCCAGTGAATCATATTGTTTCAGTTGAAGTTTTTCCTGTTTTCTGGTGAATGAGATGTTTTCTCTTTAACCCTTAGTCCGACCGCCTCCGTTGGACCTGCGAAACCTTTCCACCATCAGAGAACATTCTGCCTTAACCAGGACATGGACTGTGCCTTAGTAAGTGGAATTGGAACCTGTTGGACTTCGTAGAATTTACTCATGACAAGGGCAGATGGTTAATCTCAATGGAGAAGCCTCTGGTAAGGTGGCTTCACCCATTGAAATAACAGATTGGGTTGATACATCAAGCCAAGTTGATGTTTGTCCAGTTCTGGTTTGAGTAACTCCCAAAGGGTTGGATTCACACTTGTGGATTGGATTTGTACCCCGTCTTAACCAGGTCAGAGAAAGATGCAATATATGTAGTATGATTTTTTAAAAAAATTCTGAAATTCTTACTTTCCCATATTTTTTCTATGAAGACGCAAACATGCCTATCTGCAGACATCTGGGGACATCACCTAGCTCTGTTCCTTCTGATCCAAGATATGCATTCACCTGGGCTAAATAAAAGCTGCCGTTTTTCCATTACCAATTTCTGCAGTGCCAATCACAACTCTGGTACTCTGTGCCATGACTGTATTTAGTAGTCTTCTTCCATTAAATGGGTCACTGTGAGGCCAATGGCTCATATTCACCCTCAAAATCCCCAAATCAACTTTTTCAAAGATTAATGTCAAGGTTTTTAAAGAGGAAGGAAAATCAAGGATGAAAACTTCTTTGATCCCACTGCCACGAAAACATTTTTAAAATCCCTCCATTCCAAAAATGAACAAACACGAGACAAAGACGACGCCTCTAGATGGCATCTTGCAAATATCCAAATAAGACATAGAATAACGGAGGGGACCTTGGATGTCATCTAGTCCAATTCCCTGCTTAAGCAGAAGAGTCTGTACCATTTCAGACAAATGGCTATCCAGTATCTCCTTGAAAACCTCCACAACTTCTGAGGGCAAGCAATTCCACTGGTTGATGGTTGATTGCTCTCCCTCTTAGGAAATTTCTCCTTAGTTCTAGGTTGCTTCTCTCCGTAATTAGTTCCATCATTCGTTTCTTGCCTTTCCTTCAAGTGCTTTAGAAAATAGTTTTCCCCCCTCAGATAATGGAACCGGGCTCTCAGGTCACTCCTAGACCTTCTTTTCTCAAGACAAACCGTACCCAATTCCTGCAATTGTTTTTCGTATATTTTAGCCGCCAATCCTCTAATCATCCCCTGTGGCTCTTCTCTGTACTCTTTCCAGAGTCTCAACATCTTTTTTTAATATTGGGATGACCAAACCTGGATGAAAATCGGAGAGGTTGTTCTCCCCTCTATCCATGTGAACCATGTTTGAATTACAGCCGATCCAGTTTAACCGTGAATTCCTTCTGCCCTCCGAAATACATTCACATTTTTCATGACAAAGGATTTGAGTTATCGTAGCAGCCTGTTTAAAGTTGAGGACTCCTAAGAGAAATGCATTTCAGGCCCTTTTGCTATGAGTATGGTAAATTGCATCTCCAAAAAAACATTCTTACAGTTTTAGGGAACTCCTCCCTGCTATAAAAAAATAAGAGAAAAGAAAGCATGTGCTACATTGCAACATTCCAGGAAAATTGGCTTCCAAACATATATATATATATCTTGAATTTTTTATGCCTGAGAAGCCCACGATAACTAAAAGGCTATTTTATAAGTTATTTTCTTTTAAAAAGTTGGGCCTCTCGTTCCCAAAGAAATATAAAAATTAGGGCGACACCTCTGGTATCTTGGACAGAGCTCCTGTTGTCCTTTGTCATTCTGACATCTTGGAAGACTGGATGGGTGGGGAAGTTTCTTGGAAAGCCAGATATGTGACTATCTTATAGTTCCAGCTTTTCTGCTGGGCCAGACACCATCCAGAAAGGCAGAAAAGATAATAGCTACTATCACCATGGATAAAACAGGACCAGGGCTGTTATATATTAGAAAGGAGAAGGAGCCCATGTGCTAAAGAAATGGATACTTGTGATGGCTGATAATTTTGGACATCCTAAACCCTGCTGGGGGTTATCTGGTTGGAGATAACTCCAGATTGAAAGACTGTGGGGTCCTTGCTGCTCTCTGAGCTTGGTGCTTTTCTTGCGAAAATTCATTACCCAGCTAGGTAGTGACATCAGTGCTAGAAGGGAGTAGGGTCTTCAAAGTGGAAGAGGAGGAGGAAAAGAAGGGGAAGGAGAAGAGGAGGAAGAGGACAACAAGTCGGGAATCCTTGGTGTTGTCTGAGCTTGGTGCTTTCTTGCAGACTTTTCATTACCAAACTGGGTAACATCATCAGTACTAGAAGATCTTATTTTTATATCCTAGTGGCTTGTCCTGTTAGTATCTGGGACTGCAAATCTCAAAGTGGTCAGCTGCCAGTGCAGTTAATACATCTGAATGGTGCCTAGAATCCCTCAAATTATATTTTTTTTAAAATTCCTTTAAAAAGGCTGGACTCTGATGAGGTTTCAGTTTCCTATCTAAAATGTCAACAGGTTGAAGAGTATATAGAAACCCATTTCCTGTGAGTTTCATTTCTTAAGTTGGTTTGATTAAACAAAAACATGTTGTTTTGAGATTTGCTTCGGTCCTGTTTTTCACTCTTAATTAAGTTTAATTAAGATTAATCAGATAAATTAAGTGAGCAGGGCCAGAACAAAACCTAACTTTGAATGACTGTGAATGAATTGCTACATTGCTGCTTCAAAGTTCAAACATAATTTGCTGTCGGTCTACATCAGAGGCCCCCAAACTTGGTGACTTTAAGACTCGTGGACTTCAACTCCCAGAATTCCCCAGCCAGCCAAGCTAGTCTATATATATTCTAGTGGTTTGCCTATCACTGTTGGTGGGGTGGCCTTAGAGGTTCTTTGACTGGGCTGTTTGCTGTTGGCTTCTTTGTTAGTTTCTTGATTGGGGCTTTGCTTACTTGAGAGTTGGTCTGAAGTTAACCTTGGAATTGATCTGGGTGCTGATTGCTGGTGGAGAGGCGCTTAGGTCTTGTGGTTCCTGCGCTGGGTGATTGTCTCTTCTGCATAGTCCGTAGATGTTGTTAATATCTATGTGTCTATTGATGGCAGATTTGTCAAAGAGCCAGGCTTCTAGAAGGCCAGGCCCTAGCATTGTTGCACTTGGTTTGGTCTAGGAGGGCCATGATGTCCCAATTGAAACTAGGGTTTCAAAGAATCTCTTAAGACCTCCCCCACCAACATTGACAGACAAGCCACCAGAATATAAACTGACAGCAAATAGCATTCCTTACTGGCACTGAAGTTGTTACCTAGTTGGGTAATGAAACGTCTGCAAGAAAACAAACGAGCTCAGGGAGCAACAAGGACCCTCCTGAGTCCAAAATTTATGCGAATCTAAGTGAGACATTTCTTGAGTGAGTTTTGCCCCATTTTATGACCTTCCTTCCCACAGTTGTTAAATGAATCATTGCAGTTGTTCAATTAGTCACCAGGATACTGCATCATAACCGTCATAAATGTGAGCCAGTTGCCAAGCATTTGAATTTTGATCACATGATCATGGAGATGTTGTGACGGTTGTAAGTGTGAAAAACCATCATAAGTCACTTTTTCAGTGCCGTTGTAACTTCGAATGTACCTAATTAAATTATGCAGGATTCAATCTGGGTTTGTCATTGGGACTAGAGGCTTTGTCTTCCAAGCTTTTGGACTTGTGTTGGAGGCCATCTACTGGAGAGAAGTTCCCTGAAGATAGGCTCTGGCACGAGTCTGAAAACCTCTGGTCCCAGTGACTGATCCAGATTGGATCCTGCAACATTATCCTGGGACACATAGATTCACCTTCCTTTGTGATTAAATCATTTCTACCCCCAAATATTACTAGCTGTACAAGGCAAGGCGCAAGCATCACCTGCAAATGCCTTTGGACAAGATGTCTACTATCCTTTGGACATTAATGGACAATTTTCTGCTTGTAGAATAGAATTCTTTTATTGGCCAAGTGTGATTGGACGTACAAGGAATTTGTCTTGGTGCAAATGCTCTCAGTGTACATGAAAGAATAGAATACAAAAAATAGAATAGAATAGGATACAAAAAATAGAATAGAACGGAATAGAATAGAATAGAATAGAATAGAATAGAATAGAATAGAATAGAATAGAATAGAATAGAATAGAATAGAATAGAATTCTTCATTGGCCAATTGTGATTGGACATACAAGGAATTTGTCTTGGTGCAAATGCTCTCAGTGTACATAAAAGAATAGAATACAAAAAATGGAATAGAATAGGATACAAAAAATAGAATAGAATGGAATAGAATAGAATAGAATAGAATAGAATAGAATAGAATAGAATTCTTTTTATTGGCCAAGTGTGATTGGACACACAAGGAACTTGTCTTGGTGCAAATGCTTTCTGTGTACATAAAAGAAAAGATACATTCGTCAAGAATCAAGAATCATAAGGTACAACACTTAGTAGTAGTCATAAGGTACAATAAGCAATCAAACCATACTAGGAAACAGTCCATATAAATCGTTAGGATACAAGCAACAGAATTACAGTCATACAACCTTGTATTATGGTTTCCTATACCGCTGGGCAATTTTTATGTATTGTCAAATTCAATAGCAGCAACAAATAATATATAGAGATCATCTTAATGAGACGGTTCCCTTTTTGTAGCTCATTCAAATTCCTGGGCTCTGGATGCTTTATTCCCTGCCAGGACAGTGTCAGGATTTGGCTGGATTTCAAGGCATCTGGGGAAAGTCATCCCTGATCTCTTGTCTTTCTTTGTTTGCCTTTTCGGTGATGTCCCCCTTTTTTCCCCCCCTTCTAGCAATCGAACAAGCTTTATCTCTCCAGAAAGAGACTGCATTAATTCAGCAAGGGTATTTGCTGCTTCAGTTTCCGGAGAAGAGGAAGGAAGTTACATTCAAATGGTAATTATTTTCATACAGCTCTTCTCTGCTCCCCTTTTGAGAAATGGCACGAACGGAACTGCTCAGAGGGGGCTCTTTTTAAAAAAACAAACAAAAAAAACTGGGTTGTGTGGTGAGGGTGCCCCTTTGCCCCGCTGAAGAAATTCCGTGGAAAAACACAAGGCTTAATTGACACAGTGATAAGGGAAGCCTTTTTCCTGTTTTACAGACCTTTGTTGTGCGCACACAGGCGTAGGTGGCTCTGGTCCAAATGTTCACAAAGATCAGGCAGAGATGCACCCGGGCATTTGTAGAGTGCAAAGATAGATCCTCCACTCTTTTTTTAAAGATCAGATCTATCCCTTCATATTCAACGTGAAAACTAAGAAAATGGCTGCGTAGAGCACTAGTCACCAACTGGTGGTCCATGGGCCACTGGTGGTCCATGAGAAAATTTTGGTGGCCCACAGAAAAATTATTTGCATTTTTTTTTTATATTGCACTAAATCAGGGCTCCTCAAGCTACAGACCCTGGGACAGATACGTACAATGAACGTTTGTGTTGCTGCCAAGAGTCTCCCCATTCGGGGTCTTTTTGTGCTGGTCTGGGAAGGGGAGAAATTCCCACTTGGGGTCTGCTTTGGCCTCCTGGTGTGGGGCTTTGGGCGAAGGCTGGAGGGAAGGGCCACCGGTGCCGAAGAGCCGGAGGGCCTCGTTCCAGTGGGACAGTATCATGGCCTGGAACTGGTTGACCATCTCAGCCCACTGAGCCTCCAGGCATTGGCCTTGCACTCCTGTAGGTCTTCCCTCTGCTTGGAAAGCCTATGCTCCTAGTCCTCAGTGAGGTGCCTCTGCTGAGCCTCCTTCTTGGTCCGATCCAATATGAATTGAGCCAGCTGTTTGGCCAACTCTTTCTCGTGGTGGTTGCTTAGCTCCAATAACTGCTATCTGTTGGGGCCCTGCGGAGCCCAGGCGGGCAGGCGAGGAGTGGCTGAGCGGGGGGGGGCGGGGGGCGAGTAGAGTCCTCGAGTGACATTGCGTTGGCCACGCCCACCCAGCCAGTCATTAGGCAGATCATATTAGTGGTCCGCAGGATTTAAAATTAAGAATTCAGTGGTCCCTGAGATCTGAAAGGTCGGCGACCCCTGGCACAGAGTATCAGCCAAAGGACATTGTGGAGATAGGCTTCGGATCAGGGGCCTCCCGACACAAAATGAACAGCCATAAAATGAAGCAGGGACACTATATTATTTGTGTGTTTATTAATCTGCTGCCAAGAGGCCACACATTGAGAGTTTTCTTTGTGCACAGGTAATCCTCAACGTACAGCCACAATTGAGCCCAACCTTTCAGTTGCTAAGCAAGACGGTTGTTAAGTGAGTTTTGCCCCATCTTACGACTCTTCTAGCCACAGTTGTATGAGGGAATCGCTCCAGTTGTTAAGTTACTCCAGGGGTCCTCAAACTTGGCGACTTTAAGACTTGTGGACTTCAACTCCCAGAATTCCCCAGCCAGCCAGGCTGGCTGGGGAATTCTGGGAGTTGAAGTCCACAAGTCTTAAAGTCGCCAAGTTTAGAGATCTCTGAGTTAGTCACTTGCTTGTTAAATGGACTGGCTCCCCCATTGACTCTGCTTGTCAGAAGGTCACAAATAGTGATCTCATGGCTCCGGGATTCCACAACCGTCATAAATACAAGTCAGTTGCCAAGTGTCTGAATTTTGATCATGTGGGGATGTTGCCACAGTCGTAATTGTGAAAAACAGTCATGTGACTTTTTTTTTCAATGCCATTGTAACTTGGAATTGTCAGTAAACAAATGGTGTTGAGGACTACCTTTGTATATTCCAAAGAAAATACAGGCGATGACCAGGCTGAGCCCAAGGGAGGGGTGAAGCACATCATCAGTCTTGAGTCCTTCCGTGCCTACAAGAGATCTAAGTCCAGCCAATCTCGAATTTTGTGGACTCTTATCTGGTCCCAATTTGCCTTACTTGGTAGCAGTTCATATTTTTTTTTTGTAGAGAGCTAGCTTGGAATAAACCTATTAGTAATTTATTCCACGCTAGCTCTCTAGTTGTTTGTAGGAGTGTACTCATTTGAACATTTGAATAGGGATGCGGTGGCTCAGTGGCTAAGAGGTTGAGCTTGTCGATCAGAAAGGCCGGAAGTTCAGCGGTTCAAATCCCTAGTGCCACGTCATGGAGTGAGCTCCCATTACTTGCCTCAGCTTCTACCAATCTAGCAGTTCGAAAGCATGTAAAAAATGCAAGTAGAAAAATAGGGACCCCTTTCCTGGGAAGGGAACGGCATTCCATGTACCTTCGGCATTTAGTCATGCCAGCCACAGGACCACGGAGACGTCTTTGGACAACGCTGGCTCTTCGGCTTTGAAACGGAGATGAGCACTGCCCCCTAGAGCCGGAAACAACTAGCATGTATGTGTGAGGGGAAGCTTTACCTTTTCTCATTTGAACAACTCTGGTTTCTGAATTCTTGCCCCCGACAGAACCCAGTTTCTGTCATAGTCTGTGCAAATGACCTTGGAAAGACAGGAGGAAGAGCTTCAACCTTGACAGCAGTCAGAGAAACGCAGCTTGAGTCTGAAGAAGGGCTGGGAGCTGAGAAAGGGTCTCGCCTGAAGTTCTCTGGGCCGTTTAGAATGAAACCCACTACAAATGTCCTTCAAGTGAGATGCACAATAAGGAGCCCATACCAGGGAGGCAGTAGTAAGATGGTCGTTTGGCAGCCAAAACACAATACAAATTAAAATTGAAATGCCTGGAAAAATGGCAAGGTCTTCGCCTGGTGCCGTAATGATGCAGAGGTGCGTTTGGAGAGGGCATTCCATAAAGGATGCCACCAGAGGGGGGAAAGACACCTTCCCTTACCAAGATCCAACTCAGCTTTGGTGTGTAGAACTGAAGGGAGGGCTCTTTAAAGGATCTTGTCAACTCGTAAAGCATTCCTATGCCTGTTTCCGAGTTGCCGTAAGCCGGTATGGCAATAAAAAACAGAAGTACATTCCATGCTTATCTTACAAAGATTGTAACAGGCACCAGGTGTCCTGCCCATAAAAATCCTTCATTGGATAATGTGAGTTGGAGAGTCTGATTTATGACACACCCAGGGGGGAGGGGGGAAAACAGGATCACAGGTGACCATGAATTACGTGTGGCAACTGTTGGCTTCCTATGGGACAATGCCGACATGTTGCTCCTAATAAATCTTTGCGATTCTTTTGAAGCTTGACTCGAGGCTCATGATTTAATTAGGGCAATCGCCAGAACCCTGACAGATCTTAAGCTAGCTAGGTACATACCAAGAAGATGCTCCTTTAAATAATGTAGTTCTGAAGAATGGACTGAACTGTGACAACAAAGGAGATCTTGTTTATCTGCTCTTATTCTTTATTGCTGTTAGTATAAATCCATTATATGATCTTTGCTTTTTTTTAAATAAATTTAATTTTTTGATGTTGTTGTCATTGTTATTATTAGGAGCACCAACAAGCAACATCCCCATATAATGGAGATTTCCAATCGCCAAAGAAGTTTAACCTTGACTACTTAGCACTGGATTTTAATTCTGCTTCTCCATCTCCTGTACAGAAGGTAGGACATTGGGAGGGAGTAAGGAAAACTTTTGTTTGGTCCTCCTTTAATTCCTGAATTGGTGCATAACCATCGACCAGTTCAAGAATTAAAAACCCAATTCTCTCTGAAGGTTGCAGTAGAATTCTCTTAAATGCATTTTGTGAAATAAAGAAAATACATATTGGGTTGAAGTGCTTCCCAAATCCATGAATGTATGTTGGGACAGATTGCATGCAAAATATGCATGATTTGTGTGTGTGTGTGTGTGTGTGTGTGTGTATCATACAGGATATGAAAATGTAAATGCAGACTTCTAAGCAGAAATCATTCAAAATGGATTGGGAAATGATAAAAAAATAAAGTTGTCCATAAAAAAATGGAAAAAATATAGAAAGCAGGAATAAATTTCTCAATCCGAAGAGCAATTTCCACAGGAAGAAGTGGCTATCTTTCTATTTGGTTTATGCATCAAGAATGGTGCAAGCATATTTTAGATGAAACTCTCTGGAGCTGAAATTCATTCTGACTTTGACCCATCAAAGCACATATGTGAGGGATTACATTCTCTTTCATCTAAAGCCAAATGTTTTCCATGAGTCTCCAGTTCACAGATTCCTTTGGTTTGTTCTGGACTGAGGGACAAAGTCACAAATCGGGACAAGTTGAAATGTGATCGTTCCTCTTTCCAATTGATGTCTTCCTCATCTTCAAGCTGGGAGAAAAAACCCACTAAAGTGTAAAAGAGGAGATGTAGAAGAATGAGTTGTAGAACATGAGGGTGGAGTTAAAAAAGGAATCAGCCTAGAATCCCTGTGTAGCCACAAAGTCCAACCTCCCTTAAATTCCTTTGCTTGTATTTAACTCCAAGCAGGCGCTAAATGTTAATTGAGAAGATTCCTATACATAGGCATTAATAGTAATAAATCAATTTAATTGGACTTTCATATGTGAACTTTCCCACCTGATAAGAGGATAAGTGATGTAACCCTAGCATTTTCCTACCATCTTTTCCTCAAAATAAGACCCAACCAGAAAATAAGCCCTAGCATGATTTTTAGGGTGTTTGTAATATAAGCCCTACCCCCAAATAAGCCCCAATTAAGATTTCTTTAGGCAGCCGGACACATTTTAGCACCCGTATTTCCCCCGAAAATAAGACCTAACCAGAAAATAAACCCTAATGCATCTTTTGGAGCAAAAATTAATCTTAAGACCCAGTCTTATTTTAGGGAAAACACAGTAGATCCTTGTATTAATGTTTTATTGCCTTCATTCTACAGAAACCTTTCCTCTCTGAAGAACAACGAGTGGACTACGTTCAGGTAGACGAGCAAAGAACTCAGGCTCTGCAAAATACGAAACAGGAATGGACAGATGAGAGGCAATCCAAAGTGTGAAGAGGAGAAGGCATGGATTGGTTCCTTGGTTAGCTGGATTTTTTGTTTTTATTTTTGCACACCAAAATCGGGTCATTTGAACGATGGAGCAGAGACTGGAATTGTTGCAGAGCAGAAGAAGACATCTGATAGTTGCTGTCCTCGTGTTGTGAGGATGGTCACAGAAGGAGCGGGTCATCTGTAAAAAGATTGGGGTGCGGTTGATCGGAATGACATCCTTTCGTCATTTCCTTCATTGCTTCTTCCAGTTAGTATCTGAATGGTACCCATGTTAAAACCTGAACTTGACTTCTTTGGACATTAGCAGGAACAAAAGCCTCGCAGTGTCAACATTCAACACTGTAGTTACTTGTGACTTTTTTTTTCTCTACATCCTGGCTACTTAACAGAAGCTAGATCTATTATAGCAGCTGGTACTGATCGATGCTAGGAAAATAAGGGCTAAATATTAGAAGTTAGAGAAAGTAACTGGTGGGAGGGGAAGGTTTAGGTTTTTTGATATAAAATGTTTGCCATTTTCCTGACTAAATCCAAGAGTGTAAATACCACTTCTTTTTGCCAGTGGAACTCATCTACAGAGAGTAAAATCCATCACTTCGTTTGTCTCTTTGTTTGTAAAAGCCCCAGAGGTGCATTGGTTAGGCATGCAGTATTGCAGGCAAACTCTGCCAACAGTCTGGAGTTTGATCCCAACCGGCTCAAGGTTGACTCAGCCTTCCCTTCTTCCTAGGTTGGTAAAATGAGGACTCAGATTGTTGGGATGGGGCAATATACTGATTCTGTAAACCGCTTAAAGAGAGTGATAAAGCACTATGAAGCGGTGTATAAGTCCAAGTGCTATTGCTATTGTCTCCTCACTTGGGCAGAATTGCCTTAAGCTGCATCCACAGGCTTCCATGTTGTCACTTTCAAACTTTGGGACACTGTTAAGCTATTTTTCTAACTCCACCATGTTTGGAGACCACCCAAAGGCTGTGTCTGTGCTACAGGAAGGAAAATGCTAGCCAGTTTCTGGATTCTAGTAGGCAACCATACTGGATTTCTGCAGGGAAGTCCTCGGTCAAAAAATCATGATGAGGGCTATGATTGTGTATAGAAAGTCTTGTCCTTTTTTTAATGTGCATTGTGACCTCCCTCTTGATTTTATTTTTTATTTTTTGGTCCCCCGGCAGATATTCCTGGATCAGTACTTGAGATTTTGTTCCTTTGTTGAGTGTCACTAATGCTAAGAATTCTTCGAATGAATCTGACTGAAACATTTAGCATTAAAATATTTACTTCTGATTTAGTGTTCCCTTAATCAAATAAACAAAAATATGAATTCTTCGATATTTTGTTGGGAATAGCTAGTTTACTAAATTCCTCTCTTCTCCTGTCCTCTTTTCCCTTCCCCTTCCCTTCTCTCAAACAATCAGAGTTCTGGTTCAAAAGTCTCTTTTACTTTTCAATTTAGAACTATTAATGCAACAGTCTGAATTTGGGTTGCTATTTCTTGTTTTCTCTTATCTTCTCTTTCTCCCTTTGCTTGCAATGGTTGAATTTCAGACTAAAGTTGAAACAGTGAAAATGTTGTTAATATCTACATCTTCCTTCAGGAGAAATCTGTCCTTTTCTGCTGGCCTTCTCATTACCTACATAAAAATTCTTTATATTGACATATATTGCTACCTCTTCAATCGGGCACCCTTCAATTTTCAGAAATTGAAGGGAGACAACAGGAGCCAAAGACCTGGCACATCTGGAGACAGGCTTGAGTGGCTATTGCCTATTAAGTCATTTGATATGAGAGTTCAATCCATTGATTCTTTTCAGGTATTAAGCAAAACCTATTGAGGTGCTGAGCCAATAGACTAGACCAGAGATCTCCAACCTTGGCCACTTTCAGAGCTGGCTGGAGAATTCTGGGAGTTGAACTCCACAAGTCTGAAAGTGGCCAAGGTTGGAGACCCCTGGACTAGACTAAGATACACAGTTTCTCAACAGAGATTAAGATGGACTCGTTGTCATTATTTGGAATTTATTGAGTCCATAGTGGCTGCTGATATAACATATAGGGTGCCACAAAGATACCCTCGGAGAAAAGATACAGAAATAGTTATGAAAACAAATCATACATTAAGCCCAGGAAATAGAATGTGCGGATTGGCTCTCCTTTAATTCATTGAGATATGAAAGGGAGGGCAGAGAAAACTTAAGTCAAAATAAGATCCCATTAGTGTAGTCTACATCAATAAAATATAGTTCTGAACGAATTTGTGGACTCACTTCCTGACCTTGAAGGGCTGACGTAAAATAGAAGCTGTAGGAAAACAGGTTATTCCCAAAATGTGACCAAGGAAGCTGGTGGACACCAAAGGAAGACTCTTGGAAGCATTGTTCTACTAGGGACAACCTGTCTGCCCACTTCTAGACTAGATCTACTGACCACCTACTCTGTGCCCTCAAGAGGTGGTGCTAAGGTGAGTTCACCCCATGTAGGATGTTTAACATGGATTTGGTGTCATCCAACAGAACACGCTCTTCTTACTACTGTGTATGTCTGAACTTCCAACTTCAGAAACACTGTGATATGGAGCAGGGGTGGGATCCGACCAGTGTAACTGCCAGTTTGGTGATTTTACATTTTGCAATTTTACATTTTGGTTCTGACCAGTTCTGGAGAACCAGTAGCGGACATTTTGAGTAGTTCAGAAAACCGGCAAATCCCACCTCTGACTGGCCCCACCTCCATCTATTCTCTACCTCCTGAGTCCCAGCTGATCGGCTGGGTCTTCTTTGGTTGCCCTACACAGGAGAATGGAGCTGGAAAGCAGGCCCAGTGGGGTGGGGAGGGAATGGAGATTTTGCAGTATCCTTCCCCTGCCACCAAGCCACACCCACAGAACCGGTAGTAAAAATATTTGAATCCCCCCCACACTGCAACAACCCCATGGTCACGTGATCAAAATGCAGGTATTTGACAACTAGCATGGTTGTAGCATCACCATTTGCAACCTATCCTTAAGTCTTAAGTGGAGTTAGAATCAGAAGGATATGCCTGCCACTGGTTTACATATTTACAGTTGAAAGAATGATTTAATTTAGACAAAAGGAGTTATGGGTTTGATTTTGTGAAAAATAAATCAGAAATTCTAAGGTGCGGTAGTGATGAACCTATTCTTGCCAAGGTGTATAAATTGTTACTGAATTTGAATTCAAAGAATGAATATATATAGCACTGCATGATTCAGTGGGCATGGAACTTCTGGGCATAATGTAATGCTTGAACAATGGGCGAATATGTGGATGAAAGGTTTAAATTTTACACTAAGTTATAATTTAAAAGAATTTCTATGAGATGATGTCAAGAATTATAAAGGTATTTCAGACGAATGTTGGAAGTGCAAAAGTAAAGAAGGGATCTTTTATCACTTATGGTGGACATGTAACCAAGCAAAGAAATATTGGAATGGATTCATAACCACAGAATTCACTTAATAACCGCAATGGTTCACTTTACAACTGTGGCAAAAACGGGGCGTGGCTCACTTGCTTAGAAATGTTGTCCTCAATTGTGGACTTAAGTTGAGGATTACCCGTACTGAATTTAAATTTTCAGAGACAGTTTGAGAGTTCCCATATCTCAACCTATCTCTGAAAGCCCAAGAATAAAGAAGAGTGAAACATTCGGCTTTATTCAGTAAGCGGAAGCCGCTAGCAAAACTTCCAAATATATGCTTTCTTTTGTGTTTCCTTTAACATTCATGGCATAAAAAGGAGAACAAAGCTGCAAGGGCTCAGCGTATTTATTTTAACCAGTCAAGCAAGGTTTTTTTCTTCTTCTGATGTATATGTTGCTTTGTAGATCAAGAAAGTAGAACCATTGGCATAATATGGAATGAGGAAGGAAGAGGACAAGAGAAATGTGAGCTGGCTGCACATTTTGTAAAGAGAACAACTCTGGCAGTAGGCAATATGTGAAGAGAGTCGTCTCATTTGGGAGAAAATTTAAGAAGGATATAACTGAGTTTGTTTTCTTGCCTTTGTTGTTCTTAACAGGAACCTAAAGGATTTCCAGGTTCATCCTGCTGGTCCCATTGGGCTATCTGAATTTCTGATATAATCCTCTTTCGGTTATTATGGTAATTATATTCTGAATTATCTCCCATATTACAGCTAGTTCAGAATGTACAAAATGGCTACTGATTGTTATCTACAATGGTTGTTGTTTGACAGACATTGACTGTTTTATTAGTTCATCGCTGATCCTTCAAGTTAGTCCAGTTCATCTAATGTAGGTTAATCAAGCTAGCCCTGGGTTGGACTAGTTTATGGCAAAAAGAGACTGAGTGGACCCTGATTTTATGCAAAACCAGGGTTTATTTGTCTATTACTTAAACAATGTAAAAGAGATTTTCTTGATATGAGACAAAGATGCATGCTTCTAATTCCACTTCCAACAAATAATTGTACATTCTTGTTATGAATTTTATCTCCTTGCCTGTCAGGAGATCTTCTAGCCCAACCCCCTCTTAGGCAGAAAACCCTATACTATTTCAGACAAATGATTGTCCAATCTCTTCTTAAAAACTTCCAGCGTTGGAGCATTCACAATTTCTGGAGGCACGTCTACTGGTTAATTGTTCTGTCAGGAAATTTCTTCTTAGTTCTAGGTTGCTTCTCTCCTTGATTAGTTTCCATCCGTTGCTTCTTGTGCTGCCTTCAGGTGCTTTGGAGAATAGGTTGATCCCACTCTTCCTTGTGGCAGCCCCTCAAACACTGCTATCATGTCAAGCCTTCTTTTCATTAAACTAGACATACCCAATTCCTGCAATGTTCTTTTTTACATTGTGGCGACCAAAGCTGGATGTAGTATTCTAAGTGTGGTATTACCAAACTATTATAAACAAAGAAGCACAACTAAGTCCTATCTCAAGTGCTAATCATTCATTGTAACCTTAATTGACCACTGAATCAAATTGGGACTTCCTCTTGGTTAGCCACTCCTGACCATAGGTTTGGCAAGGAGCTGGTCCTGAAAGATTTTTTAACGAGTTGTTAACCTAATCTTACGTAGCTTTTTCTCTGGTAATATTACACTGATAACTAGAGCATACAAAACATTTGCTAGACCAATACTCGAATACAGCTCATCAGTCTGGAACACACATTACATATCTGATATTAACACAGTTGAGAAAGTCCAGAAATATTTCACAAGAAGAGTTCTCCACTCCTCTACTCGTTGCAGAATACCTTATCCCACCAGACTCGAAATTCTAGACCTAGAAAACCTACAACTACGCCGCCTTCGGTCCGATCTGAGTATAGTATATAAAATCATACAGCTTCAACCATAACAACACAAGAGCAAACAATCGATACAAACTCAAGGTTAATCGTACCAAACTTGATTGCAGGAAATACAACTTCAGCAACAGAGTGCTCAATGTCTGGAATACTCTACCTGACTCTGTGGTTTCTTCCCCAAACCCCAAAAACTTTAACCTTAGACTTTCTGCTATTGACCTCACCCCTTTCCCAAGAGGTCTGTAGGGGGCGTGCATAAGCGCACCAACATGCCTACCGTCCCTGTCCTATTGTTTCTTTTATTTCTTTTAATTTTTCTTATAGGTATCCATGTATTCATAACTTTGTTTTTACTTATACCTATTACCTTGTAAGCAATTGACAAAAATAATAAATAAATAAATAAATAAATAAATAAAGTAACAGTTGGAAAATTATTAAGGAGAGAGCTATCCTGGATCTAGGAGACATTTCCTGGCAGAGAAGATAATCAGAGGAACGGCTTGTCTCCAGAAGCTGTAAATTCTCCATCACTGGAAGTGTTTAAGTAGAGACTGGAGAGCCACGTCTGGAATGTTATAGGGCAAGGGTCTTCAAACTTGGCAAGTTTAAGACTTGTGGGCTTCAACTCCCAGAATTCCTGAGCTAACATGACTAGAGGAGGAATTTTGGGATTTGAAGTCCACAAGTCTTAAACTTGTCATGTTCGAAGACCCCTGATATAGAGCCTCCTGCTCAAGCAGGGAGTTGGAGTAGAAGACTCCAAGATCCCTTCCAACTGTTAGACAAGGCAAAAAAAAAAAATATCTTTGCCCAGTTTATAACTAATGTCAAGAAACGAGTTCTCTGAAATGTAAAAAATGTTGGCAATGTGAACCTTGTGTTTATCACAGGGATTAAGAGGCTTTCCCTGAAGCCTAGGCTGGAGAGAACGGGTAGGGAAGGCGTTGCCTTCATGCTTTATCTGTACATTTCCTTTGATCTGATTGTGAAGTTGCGGTTGGGTT